CACCAAGAAAGCATTCTAGGAATGCGGGAGAAATACCTTATATACAGCCCCTTTTAAAGGGCGAAGAATTGAATTCAGGTTCAGGGAACCATTCGCCAAATCCTAGTGGTGAAGAATCATTATTCATCATCTTTTTTTAGTTTGGGCGCCACTGAAAAGACATTAAGTTTTTTTTTTTTTTCGAAGCAGGAGAGATGAAAAATGAGCAGTGCCCTGGCCGGGACTCGAACCATGGACCTCTCGAATACGCGCCGAGCGAGCTGACCGCCACACCACGAAGGCATACTAAGAAGGCGGGAGAAATGCCTTATAAAGTGCATTTTACTTTACATTTTTGTCTTAACACATCGTATTTTAAATTACGTTTTTGTGTAACTTATTATTTGAAAACCGTCTGCCACTTCAATTTTTCCTCCAGGTGTGATGCTTAATTTTTAAATAATTTTTTAAGATCATTTTACCTAAAATAACGTAATGGAGCAATAATAGTGATTACAGGTGGATGATTAAAACTGAAAGGAATTTTTTTTTCTTATGTTCTGAATGAAATTTGCAGGCAATTGCAGTTTCCTAAACTTCAAAATATCACTTTAACCATCATTCTTCATGTTAGATACTTTTAAGCTGTCTATTAATGTAAGATTATCTCTTAATATTATTTTTCTGAAGTTATGGTATGATGTTAAGCTATTATACCGCAACAATACGCAAGTCATTCAATTCTTTTAACTTTTCTACTTATAATAAAAAATTGTTTTAGTAATACATATGCTTATATTCAGTTCAGAATTAAGCCGGGCTTTGGTACTTTTCAATTTTCGAGACAAATCTTCATTTTAGATGAGTATTACATATCACCAAACAAAATCATTTGTGACACTTCTGTGTACATATTTTCAATTTTGAAGAGAAAAAATAGTTAATTTATTGTTTGCTATATTAATTTGCTGAATTTCATGGAAATGTTAAATTTCTTTCAGAAGCATTCTGAAAGATTTATTTACAAAAATATGTTAATAAAGCTGTATATGCAGTTTATACTCATTCTGTATTGCCTTGTGCTGTCTCCGTACCCGAAAACATTATTTACTTGTTTGTCACTGGAAAAGTGAATAAAACCGCACTCAGTGTCTTATAAACTAATCTTACGAAGACTATTAGTTGGATTTAGCTTCACATCCCAACAAATCAGCTGGCTACATGGGCGTTTTTGAGGATTTCACAGGGCACCACCAGTTATTGACCGGTTACCGTTGTTGAATACTGATAACTAATCCCAGCTTCGAATCCAGACGTACGGACTGGCTGCATGGTTGGGTTTCGTCTTTTCTCCATGTGTATTGTAAATAAGAGCCACTTTACTATAGAAAGTCCTTCACGAAGGCATACCCCCTCTTAAGCAGATCGCCTTCGTGTGCTTTACCATAGTCAAATAATTCAACCTAACCTGAGCATTTCCCCGAGCATAATGTGAATAAATCGCATAAAAAATTAGATTTCGTAATTTTTACAAAATCGATTTTTTAATTTAAAAAATACCAAAACATAAATATTAACTTTATTTAAAGCATTCATGTATCTGGAAATGTATGCCTTTTACCAACGGTTGCAAAAATAAAGGTAGCATAAGAATTTTTATGGGTTAGGGAAAACACGAAAATTAGCTGCGCCCTTTCTCATAGTATTCAGTAATTTAACTACTTGGCTCTCGTGCGTCGGGCTTTTATCGGACATTATCTCTCTATGTATTACGTTTGGAGGTACATTGTTGAAAATTTCACCAGGGAGAGAAAATATCTTAAAATTGCAGACTTTTTTATTTTACAAAAGCCACCAAAAAGTACTTTTTCCATTTCAATGAGAAATCGAAAACTCGGCAAATGGTGTTTATGATAATCAGTACTTTCAGTAATTACACAAACTATACATGTATAAGAAATTATGCAGCAAGTAAGTTTAAAAATTCATTAATCGGGTATTGAAATTCAAAGACTAGGGACATGAGGACGACTACAACTAAAATAGCAGTATTATATTCAAGTTTAATTATATTACTAATAATTAAACTGGAATTATAATATTTTTAATATTATAGAACATGAAATAAGTCACATTTTATTTATTATAATATTATAGAGCATGAAGTCGCTTTTTATTTATTATCATATTAATTTATACAGTAAAGTATGTAATATATTGATTTATATTATACACTTAACATATGTTTATGATTCTAAAAATTAATTTTAAAGTAACATAATACTGATGATGATGTAAGGTGTATCCTAAGTTTATAACAGTTATTTTAAGTTTATTAACCTTTCCTATCTGTTCTAGTTTCAGCTTACAATTCCTTACCAGAATCAGTTTTTAGAATCGCGTTAAATGATAAGGCGTTTGTCTTTTGGTTACGTCTTTCTAACTATAGCTATGCTCGGACGTATTACATGCCTTTGATAGCTTCGCTAGCTAATTTAATATTACGGGCTAACTAGCTTATAATTTGTGTTAGCTTCGGCTAAATCTCTTTAGTTAGTCATTAGTTAAGGTCTTATTTCTTACATTTTTGAGTTTAAGCCCAAGTGGAGGTTTGTTGTACGTCCTGAGAAAGAGGCCATCTGTTAATCTTTATTTTGAGCAATAAAGGGTAATTAACTCTTCTTGAATTTACATTTCTGTTCTCAGAATTAAGCGATTATTCGCTTAGTAGTTCGCTAGGCTCCTCAACACTTAGTTGAAACCCTCTGAGCCCCATGGCCGCCTTTATCTAGTCATGAGAGTTTTTTTCACTTGGTATATATTAGCTTATAATTTACGATATTTTACCTGCTTATTTCCTTAAATAATATAAATGTCATGTTATTATCTTATCAAGTTTATGAAAATAGAGTCTAAAGTAAGTAAATATACAAATTTGGTTAATAAAGGTTCTTTAAATACAGGTCTTCATAACAGATCCAAAAACCCGAACCCCTCAGAGGGTTAATAGATAAAAGGGAGGAGCCCTCACTATTATACATAAAAGCATAAGAAAGAGTTGTATTTCATCTTGTATAATGTTGATGATAAGATGCTGAGCTAATTTCATTACTACAGACTTTCTTCCCTTTCTATTTTTTCAAATGTAAATTCTACATACGGAAACAGAAAGGAAACAATTTGCATTCTGTCATTCATTACCTTTATTTTTCAGCGGCTATTTCTGTTAGGATGCTACATGTACATAATAACACTTTTTTTTTTCAAATGGCGATCCCTAGCCGTTTATAGGCATTGGACACTACTAAGAGCAGAAGCGGTGGTCACTTAATTATGAAAGGACCTAACAGGTGAGCCCCCGTTGCCTACTAATAAAAGGACGGACAAATTACATCCATGCCTTTTCCAGGATTCTAACCCGAATCCTTCTGTGCAGCAGTCAGAGTCACTAATCACTTTCCGATCTGGGTGGCTGTATATAATAATATAAGTTAAATTTGATGCTAATAGGGCATTTCAAATGCAGTAAATGAAGGAATATTTTTCACTTATTTTCAGGTTTTTAAATGCTAAACTTTCAAGAAATCGTTATTTGTATTCTTAAACTGCACTGAAAAAGTCGCATATATAGTCGAACGTTAGTGAACACTCACAGTAACAAGGTTTTTGTCCGTTATCAGGAAGTGTCCTCTAAACGGGAGTAAATTGATCTCTTACTTTCAAGAACTATACATTAACTTAGAGTGTCCATTAAAACGAAGTATTGTTAATAGAACTACTATATTGCGCTATTCAAAGCTAGTTCCTTAAAGGTCTATGACTGATTATAATTGTACTTATTAACTGCGGATGATCCTGTGGGCGTCATAATTTCAGTCATAGTGAAGCCACAAGATACTTGTATATGAGATAATTGTAGGAGGGAATATGTAAGTTAATTATAGATGATTGCATTAAAACTACTTTCCCAAATTTAGATAATAGTATTCGCATAGCTTTAACACTAATAATCACAAATTACTTAGCTGAATGGGCATTTTCTCAAAGTACATTAAAAATACGGATAGAATAGCCCCATACCACGAGGCAAGTTGTACGCCTTTTGTCTGTTCCAACTGCAGAAGCAGATGCGTTATATAAGATTTGTTTTGATGATATTACTAAAAAATACGCAGTTTGTAATACAATTTTCAAGTATTAATAAGATGTTTAAAAATAAAATTTCTTTTCGGAGCTAGATCAAAGATGTTTTCACTTTCCAATCGATGCTCCTGAATCACTATCGTAATAATCATTTTAATTTTACTGATTTTTTTTTTCATTTTGAATGGACTATATGAACTCATCATCATTTAAAATTTTATATCCGAACTCATTTACAACGACAATTAACAACCCGACTTAGTTTTCATTTTCATCATAATCGACTTAGTTTTCATTTTGCTTTACTGATATTCATTATCACAATACTTATTGCCGATAACCTTCATATTCACCAGTTTAACTACTTAAATCATATCAAACCTTATCTAATAACCCTAATTTGAGGTTCGATTTTGAAAGTATAATGTTTGAATAAGGCTAATTTGAATAATAGACCTTATGCCGTAAATGTGTGATGCTAAAAATCTGTTAACACCTCAGGGCATCTGAAGCTCTTAATTAAGCCATGGGTGCATCTCCCATTTATGTTTTATTGGTCTCCATGTTTGAAATCATTAACTCTAAGTCCACTGAAAATTCAAATTTCGTACTGTGCTGCTGTTGAGAAACTGAAATCTTTCAGGGTTTCTAATAGAAAGTGCATCACGCTGGCTTAAATTTCGGGAATGGTATGTATGTCAAATATTTTCGTTTCATTTTCCAAATCCCATAACTCTTTCCTAGTGTGCTCTCTAAATCTAAAAGTAGTCACATGCTAATTACATGATATTTTAAGAAGATAAGGCTTTACAAATGTGAAGCTTTACGTACATGTTTTACAAACATGATTTCATTCTTTCAGAAATGTCAAGCTGTTTTTAAATCTTTTTCCTTCAGGTAAACTGGTGTTCAGGCCCTTAATGCATCAGCCTCGTATTTATGCTGGTGCGCCGGCTGGAGTTCATGTTACAACAGTTCATGCTTACGATCCAGATCGACCTAGAAAGAAGGTGGAATACAATCTTCCGAACGCTTTAGATTACAAATATTTTGTAATCGATAATACATCAGGAAATCTGACGACTGCTAGACCTATAGACAAGGCTGTGGGTGAAACATATCAAGTAAGTTTCCTTTCAGAAAAGTTTTGTCTAAACTTCCTCGTAACTCAAAATATCCAATTTAAGCGATAAAATAAATGTTATTCTTATCTGATATTATCAACAGCGAATTTTTCAACTTAATTATATATATAATAAGCTCAACACCATTAAAAATTCTCTATATAACTAAAAATATTCATAACTCTCTCCAGGGTTAGAACTAATTTTAACATCTAAAGAAAGATATGTTTGACTACTTCTTGATAGTATTAATCATTCGAAGAGAAAATATTTAATCGATTAGTTTTTGTTACGCTTTCTATATTTACTGTAATACTAATACTTTCTAAACTCTACTATCAGCTGCTGTTTATCTCAGGAAAATTCCCATATCAAAACGGCATCGTGATAATGTACGGAATATTTCAAATTAAGAAATTCTCATAAAAGAAATAAGAATTAAATGAGTCATCTTTCGAATTGATTTATTCACTTACTTATTTTTTTTAATTAAGGAAATGTTTGTATGCTTGAATTTAGAAATAAAATTATCCAGGGAACGAAACTCAGTAACATAGCTCCCAGGCGGCACTCTACCCTCAAAATCAACTCCCAGGAGGTACTCAGGAACAACTCCCATGTGGCCCTCCACCATCACTCCCCCCTTCAATAATGGAATTCTTGATACTTAGGCAAAAGAATTGACTTGTTTACGGAGTGCTGGAATATGACGTGAAAAGTCCGAACTTTAGCCATAGAGACAAATCCACCTACTTCTGGATATACCTCCAACTTCTTTTCCCAATGGCTATGTAGCCGAAGAAGTTTCACCTTTTAACGGAATGATATCACCAACTTCAATATTCGGCCAATCCCTTATCCATTTTGATTTAGACTTTAAGGTATGATGGTATTCACTGAGCCATCTCTTCCAGAATCCTTGCTTTATTTTTTGCAGCAGATTTCACCTAGAACGAAGATCTTGAAAACTGGTACAGCTACATTCTGGAACGTCTGTAATAGTTTCTTCTCCAAGGAAATTAGAAGGCGTTAGTACGTCTGAACTTGATATATCTGAAGTAATGGGAATTAGAGTCTTAAAATTTAAGTGCTGCAAGCAAAGTAGCCAAATGTCAGCACAGCCTTTCCTATCACTCTTCTGAAATGAAACTTTACAGATTCCGATTTCCCATATATTAACAAACTGTGGAGAAGCAGGACGAATCATATGCCATTGAATAGAAAAAGTGGCCTAAAACACATTGAATTCTTCTGACTTAATTAAACTCCTTAAAGCCAATTCTATCTCGAGCAATTTTCTCTTCGCTTCAGTAAAATTAGTCCCATTCTCACTGAAAATATGTTGCCGTACACCTCAATGCGCAGTAAACTTCTTCAGTGGAGCAATAAAAGAATTTGAAGTTATATCTGATACAGCTTGTTTTAAGTGAACAGCTTTTGTTGCAATACACATGAATAATGCCACTTAACGCTTAGTAGTCTATGCACCATTTGCTAAATTACAAAGTTATTGGTCTCACATAGTCGATATCACATTTGAAAAATGGTCTAATTGTACTCAAGCTTTTGGCAAGTAGCCCATTATTTCAGCAGCAGCATTTACTTTATATCTAATACAAACTTAGCATTTTGCTATAACACTTTTAATGAGCTTCTTTTCTCTAATAATCCAATAATTTTAATTGTTTCTTTGTGTTCTAAAGCAGTTATAGGCAGAATTTCCCTCAAAGGCTTACAACTTGGCAAACGATTTTGTAAGCTGACACTTTTAATAAGTCTTTTAAAACAGCATAGAATTCGAGCAATTTCTGATAAGGAAGATAAATTATTTAAAAGAATACATTAAGTTTCGTTTTTCAAACTAGCATGAAATGAAAATATACTATTACTATTTTCTTTAGTCAACGCATCTAGATCCTCCCTGTTTTTGTTTTGTTTGGTTTAGTTTATTGTGGCAAAGCACACTAGGGCTATCTGCCTAAGGGGAAAGATGCCTTCGTGGAGGACATTCTGAGAAATTGGCTGATAAACATGTTTACACATCGGGAAAACTACGAAAAAGGCCCATGCAGTCAATCCGTTCATCTGGATTCGAACCCAGGTCGGAACTACCAGTGTTCAGCGATTTTAACGATGTACCGCTAGTGGACCTTGCCTTGATCCTCCCTGAGGTTGGGTAATTCAGAACTTAGCCAAACCGTAGAGGCTTCTTTCAACCAACTAGGGCTCTGCCACCTCAGTCGATTTATTACAAGTTCCTTTGAAAAATCTCCCGCAGAAGCCAAATCTGCCAGATTAAATTCTTGAGAAACACAATTCTGATGAAATCTCGGCAAAACTTCCGAGATTTTCGAAGTCCAGTTAGCGATGAAAATTTTCCATCTACAAGGAGGGGATGATACCCATTCTAGTACACCTTAGAATCTATCCATGCGAAGATTTCAAAATTATATTTTCTCAAAATATACCTTATTGAACTAACAATCTTTGTTAGTAAATGAGCTGCACTCAGCTCCAATCTAGAAACATATAAGAGCTTAATAGGAGCAACCTTAGTCTTTGCGGCTAGAATATTTACTTTATATTTGCCTTCAAGTTCTTGCCGTTGAATAAATGACTATTGCGCACGCGAGTTCTGAAGCATCACAGAATGCGTGCAATAGCATTTTCTCTGCATGGATATACCGAGGAATTTTGACAGACTCAACAGCTAGGAACTTTCTCTGAAAGTGAATCCATCAATGCAAGAGGGCAAAAGGTCTCCGCTGACTGTGGTAATATTTTGTGCTTTGTAAGGCTTTCTTCGACGGCTAAGGAAGTCTTAAATATAAAAGCACCTAACACTGAATCCCAGTATAACCCCAAGACCTTAATACATTCATTAGGTATAAGTTCCAGATCAGATGAACCAATATCTCGGTTCAATAAATATTGGCTTAAAGAAAGGTAATTGGTTCGCCACTTCCTTAATTTTAGACCTCTAGCTTCTAATGCTTCAGGTAACTGCTCGCAAATATCAAAACACTCTTCAGCACATTTAGAAGCAGACAGAAGGTCATCCATGTAAAAATTCTTTATTATTATCTCTGAGACATTCGGAGAGTTATTTTCATATTTCATGGCGATTTGTTTCGAACATCTCGTTGCCAGAAATGAAGAAGGAACAATACCGTGTGTTAACCGTGTTTAATTGATACTTTCGTACTTTGTCTTCCAAGCTATTTCGCCATACAACTCTTTGGGAGTTGTTATCCTCTTCCGGTAACACACGATATACAAGGATTTACCGATACAGTTTGGCAATATCAGCAGTAAATGTTACAGCGTACGTTATGAAACTTGTTAACACCCACGCTATGTCACACTGGATAGTTGAACATAGACATAATATGGAATTTGGGGACCTTCCGTTAATAAAGCTATACGAAGCATCGAACACCACACGCAATTTTGTCGTAACGCTTACCCGGCTTAAACACAGAATGGTATGGAAGGTAACATTTAGGTATGGAAGTTATATCATGTGACCAAGCTCTTCATATTCGGCCATAAATTTCTTATAATCATTTTCCAAATTAGCATTTGTCTGAATTTGGGTTCCATGCCAAATAAACGTGAAACTGTCGCCTCTCTTGTGAACCCTAGTTTTTCAGTGAAATCTTGAAATGGAAGCCTGAGGGCGAATCTACCGTCAGAACTGAGCTGCTAATTATCTTAAATATGCCTTTTACAATGTTCCTTTTCATTTGTTAACCTAGTAACCCTTCGAGGCAATTCTTCAGTTCCGAAAACCGTTTCGGAGTTTCATCAATGTTTAGCTCAGCATGAAAGCTATGTAATGCAACTGCCGCTTGATTACCAGAAACTGATTTTTCAATATCCTAAGAGAATCCTTCCAAAGTACGTGTTTTAAGCTGTTACTGAATCTTTAATTATGACTGGCAGTAAAAGTGAAAAAAAATAATCATTAACAACAATAATGTCAATTTGCTTTCTCTTATCAAACTCAGGATCAGCTAACGTAACAGAATCTATGAACAGTACAGCGTTAAGTTCATTATTGCTCGATGAAAGGTGGTAGGTTAACTTATTTAATAAATGAGCTTCAATTACAAATTTCTTCTCAGAATTAAATTTTGAAATCATGGACAGTTTGACTATGCCTTTATTAGTACCACCATTTCTGGATACTAAATCCTTAGCAGCAAACCTCGTGTTAGTTCAGCGATTCTAGGAATCAGCCTTTTGTAGTAACATGACATATTAACTAAAGATCTCTTTTTGAAACGTTTGCGTGCACAGAATCTAAACCGCTAATTACCTCCTCAGGAACATTCGACACCTGCCTTAAGCTTGTAGAGACATTAGGTTAATTGGAAGCAGGAGTCGTGATAAATGAGCAACGCCGTCGCCTGGAATCGAACCACGGACTTCTGGAATACGCGCCCAACATGCAGACCACAACACCACGAAGGCACACTAAGAAGGCGGGAGAAATACCTTATATACTCCCCATTTTAAAGGTCGACTGGGGTTTTTAGGGGACCCATTCGCCAAATCCTGGGTGTGGAGAATAATCATCCACCGTCCTTTTAGTTCGGGCCCCACTGTAGAGACATTAGGATTTTTTCGAAGCAGGCTAGATGAAAAATGAGCAACGCCCTCACCGGGAAGCATATAAGCATTCTGTACCACGCCCACACGTATAGAGAAAACTCTGTACTTGTGATTGGAGATACTTTTGAATAACATCATTTTCTCTCGACGCTATAAACTTTAGGGAGGATTCGTACACTTTTGTTTTCGTTGAATGGCACGCATGAGTGACACGGAAGCGTGAAAATTATCGTTTGTTTTCTTTGGAACAAAATAATTTTGCTGCAGCTTTATGCAGATGGCTTCTTGTTTCATGGAATAATAAAATTATAAAATCTTTCAAAGATGCTGTTAATATTAGAAGCAATCTTAAGCACTTAGATTATACAAATAGCTTAATTCAT